GCAAAAATGTTGTTAAAAAGAATTGAATAGACACTCCCCAAGTTGTATGCATGTTATCAAGAAATGGCGACTCCAGCCATTCTATCGTCAACTTCATCAAAAGAGACCACCAAAAGTAGTAGCCCAAGTCATTCAGAATTCCTAAACTCATTCATTCTATTTTTAAAGCTAGGCTTATGCAAAATATGCAATTTGAGAAGAATGATTTTGTTGATTATTTGTCTGAAGATTTGACCGATCCCAATTTTACATATTACTTTGGTGAAAATTGAATCGGCACAAGTACAAAATTATCTCCCAAATTGCTAAAGATGTATTAACAATTCAAATATCCACGGTTTCTTCGGAGTCGGCATTTTCCACGAGTGGTCGGATTCTTGATTCCTTTAGGAATTCATTGGGTGCAAAGATGGTTGATGCCTTAATATGCACGGAGAATTGGTTGCATAGCAGCAAGGAACCTACAGTGTTTCGTCAATATTTAAATGAGGTAGAGGCATAAGATGACTTAGAGAAAGTTATAAAAGGTGACATTTATTTCTATTATCAATTTTTGATATTTCTATGCATATTATTTTTTAATTGCTTGTCAAGGTCATTAATAAGAACTAATAAATATTTTGATATTTGCATATTATGCAGAGGTCAAATCATGTGTTACAACATGAGATATTAATCCAATTATTGTCAAATAAGAGGTTAGAATGTAATTTTTATAAAAGTTATTGGCGTGTTGCTAAATGATTAACTTGTCATTATTTTTTTGTGTTTTTGTTTGTGTTTAATTTCAGACAAATATGAAAGTAATTTAACATTTAATATTATTAGTATTCATTTAAACTTATATGTTAACTTGTTTTAAATATATTAGTATAATGTCGATAGGTAAACCGTTGATTAAAACCAAACCAAACCGAAGATAATGGTTTGGTTTGGTTTGGTTTGAAAAAAATTCAAACCGCTTGAAATGGTTTAAGTTGAAAATTTAGTACAAACCGTCCAAATTGAACAGCGTTCACCCCTTGGCTGAATGATGTATTCCAACACATTTTGTGCTTTTCTTCCATTGTGATAGTAACTAAATTATTAATTGACACATATAACCTAGATTAATTTCAACCTTCATTTGATTTATTTGATTTTACTTCTTTTCTTAATGATTGAATGACTTGATCACTAATTCATGGTTTAAAAATCTGGATGTGAGTTATAAAGTCAAACCATGTAGTAAAATTTGACAATTGAATAAAAGGTAGAGGTGCACTTTTACAATTGTTATGGTTTTTAATTGAATTCATATGTGATTGAATGCGTTTAGTCAAGGTTTACTCATATTCACGTAGAAATATACTGAGTTAACATAACTAGATGTGATCGATTTGAATTCGAGAAAAGAAAATTGATTTAATTAATGAATTCGACCTAGTACAACTTTAAGACCATGACCGCAATGCTTTAATAATCATGTTTGATCGTTTAATCAAAGTTATCCACAAAAAATTATGATTGAGACTCAGGCAAGAAGGAAAATAAAATGGCTCAGAAATGACAACCGAGATGATTAAAGTGACCACTTTTTAAAAAGGATGTGGTAATGAGAGCGCAGTGGCGGTTTATTAATTTTTTTTTTCGTTTTTCAAAAGTCTTTTATTTGACTCCAATTCCAAATTTTTAAATGATTTTATCTGTACAAAAGTAAAAAAAATAAAAACATGTTAAAAAATTCCGAGTTGGATTTATCTAGCTAGTTGAAAGTTGAAACTATGAAAAATAGTCTAACTTTTGCATTTTGAAAATTTAAAAATTGTATAATTGACTAATTGTAGGAATTATTAGGTAAATATAGTATTTTATAATTTTAGATGTTTGGTATGTATTATTTTAATTATTAAATAATTTGAAAAATGATTAAGAATTTAAAATAGTATTAAAAAAGTACTTTTTTACGCCCAAGCCTCGCTTAGGCTTGTCTTGACTCGTAAAACTTGAAATTTGACATCTACACTCAATCATGATTTACGTTTTTTAAAACACTGCTCTTTAGTAAACAAAGAGAACCTTTATATATTTTTTTCCTTTCTTTTTGAAGTTGATATTGATTCGAAGGTCTTGCCACTACAAGAAATTTGACTTTTAACGATGAAAATTTTATAGTAAGAGGTCATTTTTGGATTTTTTTTTCCATCGAAAACTGATTGTTGAGAAAGCTTTAAAGGAGAGAGTGTTTGTCAATAAGAGTGAAATTTTCTGTAGTTACTTCAAGATCTCCTAGTTGTGGTTGTGGATGAATTTATTATTGCTCTAAAGTTTGTAATACTCTCTTTTGAAATTTTTGAGGTGGTTTTGTGGTGTCTAGGGACTAGGAAAGTTTTTTTAGACCTTGTATAGTTTGAATTATGCTTCTTGAACATTCCTTGTTGATATCAAGGTTGACATTTTGGGAAATCTGGCAATTTATTAAAAAAAAAGTGTTGTAAAAATCAATGTACAAAAATTTGTCAACTCACATGATGTCAAACTTGATGTACATATATAGCATGATTGATATATTTTTGTGTTTTGTTTTTTCTACTTTATTATTATATCTATTGTAATATTCGGCGAGGGTTTTTTTTTCCCAATATTTATTTCACCATTAGATCGGAAGGTAGCAATTTCAAGTGATGTTAGAATATAGAACTACACTTCTATCATAGAACAATGGAATATGTCGAAAATGCACTTGGTACATTCTAGGGGTGTAAGCGGTCCGGTTTTACCGATTTTTGACAAATTTTCAAACCAAGTCGTTTCAACTGGTTTGAGAAAAACTCAAACCTAAACCAAACCGTTTTGATTGGTTTGAAAAAAATTCAAACCTAAACCTAACGGTTTGGTCCGGTTTTAAATCGCCGGTTTCGCGTATATTTTTTTGCATGTCTAGTGTCTACTTTTATGCCATTAATTCAATATATATTTATATCTTACTGACAATAAATCTAAAATAAACTAAATATATCTATTATAAATTTAAATACCAACAAAATCAAAGTAAAATCACAATAAACTAAAATCACAGTCATATAATTCCAAAGACAACTTAGACGATTTTCATGTTCAAAAATCAAGAACACGTAGCTATGTAACTAAAATTACAGAACTTCAAAAATAGAAATAAACCACAGGTTACAAAAAATCACGAATTTGAGGATTTACAAGAATCGAGATGACAAACAATGTTTAGTAATAACTTAGACGGTTTCCATGTTTAAGAATCAAGAACATGCAACTATGTAACTAAAATAATAATAAAAAAAATCACAGAACTAACTCATAGGTCACAAAAAATCACACAGTCTTGCAACGAAATTGAAGGCTATCAGTTGTGATTGACCGTAGACTATCGGCGACCGTCGCTGACAACTGAAAATTCTGACTGTAGACTACCGACGATTTGAGGAAAATTCAGAAGCGAGAGAGAGATAAATGGAAGGTTATGGATTATGGTTGTGTTTGTGAGAGTTTGAGTTCATTTTAAAAAAAAATTAGGATAGCGGGTCGGGTCGGGTTGGGATTGGGGCGGGTCGTAAATTACAATAACTAATATGAAATTAGAAATTGACAAAAATACCAACAAAATGACAAAATTATTGAATTTACAAAATTGAAATTTTGGATAAATTTTCAAAAAAATTCAATTTTTTATTTTATATATTTTTTCGCCGGTCCGGTTTGGTTATAAACCGTAATTAAAATTCCCAAACCTAAACCAAACCGTTTTTGACCGGTTTGGTTTGGTTCAAAACCATTTCGTTGACGGGTCCACGTGGCACCAAACCACCAGTTTCGAAATTGCGGTTTCGGTTCGATTTGGTTGTTTTTGCTTACAGCCCAGTACATTCTAGAGCCGGTGAGAAAGTTATAAACTTCTCAAATTTCAGGTATGGTAATAAATTTACACAATCACCTTAAAAAATGAGTCTGAAAGTCAACAAAAGCCGAAGAGACAAGACTACACTCGATGTAGTGACAATGAATAGGTATAGGGCACATGAAGTGTAGCTATTAAACTTTTGATTTACTCTCAAATACTGCAATCGCTCTATGGTTGGGTATTGGTGCAAAGATGAGATAAGTTTATTTCTGTCGTATTATATTTTATTTTTGTCATTCATAAAACGTATTGTTGGATTTTGATACCTAATAAATCTCAAACAATGCCCACCCTACGTGTCGGAAGGTTATCATAGGACTTTAGACAACTCGCTCGGTGGCAAAATAATATTTTTTACATGAAGTTTATACATCAAAAGCACTACAAATGACTTTTATTGATCAAACTCGATGGATACCTCTCCACTTGGAATTCATATTCCAAAAATGAATAATTTAAGACCCACTTGCTAAAAAATAAAAATAGTTGGTCGAGAATGTACTAGTTCTATTTGAACATTGACTAGAGGCCACTTCCAATACACGAAACCTTCTCTTCTTCTATCATAATACGAATGGAACCTTGCATTTCACTCTTCAAATCACGTAGAGCCTTGCAATTGGATTGGAGGATTTAGACACATAGGACAGAAGCACCAGTCAAATGGTGACTTAACATACACGAGAGAGGATCATAGAGTAGACCCCATGAACAGAAGAGAATAATTAGGAAGATTTAGAGATAAAAGTTGTTTTGTGGGCTCAAACCAATTGCTTAGTTTAGATGGTTAATTAGCACACGTAGGTTGAATTGTACAGTTAAACCGACTGACAACTCCAACCCACTCAATCATCGCAATGCAAACAAGACTCAAATACTGCCACCCCACTCCCTTTTCTCACCTTTCCCACCAAACTTGAGTTTTTTGTGTAAATAGAATCATTCTATCTTATTGATGAAGCCAAAAGTCTAATATAAGACTAAAATTACAAATGTTTATACTTGGATATCTCCTTTAATCTCTCTCTCTCTCTCTCTCTCTCTATTGTGAGTTTGAAGCTAATTGACTTTGCGTATGCTTTAAGAAATGAGAGATCGTATGGAAAGATTTGCACTAATTCCATTCTCCTTCGGCTGTGATTCTGATGCAAGTGTTGCAGTTGGCACCACCCAATTGCCTGAAAAGAAATACAAAAGCTCAAGTTTGGTTAAAACAAGTATGCTTTCTCTCTCTCTCCACACACACACACACATTATAATATTAGAGTGAAAATGTAGTTGAAGTTCATTCTCATATTGGCTGGTTGAATTGCGGGGCTTCATTTTTAAGGACAAAAGGAGGGAAAGGGAAAGCCTTCAAGAGAGAAATCAATGAAGAAAAGGAGAGGATTCTTGGCTCTTCCAAAACCACTTTTCTCCAATGGCTTACGTAGATTGATGAAGAATCTCAAAAGTTTTTCTCAATTGTTTGGTAAGTATACTGAAAGATTTACTTACATTTTGTTACATACCCAATTATTTTTCTTCTGTTTATACTGTATGGTTGTGCACGATGGATTTGATATGCATGATTTAACAAATTTGAACTGAACCGCAAAATATTCACGTTAGTGGGTATATATGAAGGTACTTCATTTTTTTTTTTTTGAGGTAAAGATAGTATAAAGAATTATTGGTAAATTTGTTATTTTTTATGTAAAAAAAGCATATATCTTTTAAATTATTATGAAAATTAATAGGGTCAGTTTGTGCCTACATAATTAAATGAATGTGATAACCTTCAAAAAAAAAAAAAAGGAAAATATTAGGGTCCGATTGTGTTATGAAAATGTAAATGTTTGAATATCGTATAGAGGTGTAAAAAGATGTGTATGTCATAAATGAAGAAGCGTGGCATGGTGGTGTTGGACCGGACAAGCTACTCGATTAAATAGTTTTCTTTTTAACTTTTTAGAAAAAGATTTAATTTTTTTTTTTTTAAAAGTTCATGTTAGTTCGTTCATTTCTCTTTTGGCCAGTTGGAGCAGCCACCTACCTTTGACCCTTAGGACCCACGTTTCTACAAATGCTCCCCATGCATTATGGGATTTCTTGATATTATAATTTCATGTACATATCCCACCAAGCAAGCAAAAATTATTTCCTAAGTAGATTTCAGATTGTCATATTAAAATAGTGGAATGTATCTCTCTCAAAACCTATGTATCGAGAAATACTTGGGTAGTACGCCTTAGCATGTGAACTTGTCAATATTGTGGGTCAGGACAGCCTAACTTGCTACCTGTTGCCGTATCATTTTGTTTTTGAAATTTTAACACAATTTAGAATTAAGTCAAGATTTAAAAAATTGAATATTCTTTTAATGTGTCCGAGAATTTCATCGTTAATTCTGTGTGATTACAAGTAAAATTTACTTGTGATTATAGATTTATCATTATATTTTTAGTATACTTTTAAATAGGTTGACATGTAGTTAACTATAAAACGTAATGTGAAATCTTATACAGCATCGAGAATTTAAAGTATAAATGGGAAGAGAGTTGTGGGATTGAAAAATGATGAAAATAAATGAGTATTGAAAAAAAAAGAGAGAAAACTAAAAAGAGAGATTATAAATTAGAAAGAGTTTGATGGGCCTCTCTTGGTGCAAATTAATAGGTATTTAAGATTTTCAAATAAAAAATTAGACGTAAAGTTTATTTAACAAAAAATCAGGCATTAATTAAATGATTAATAATATTATAAAATTTACCCACGACTCCATCCTTCCTACCCCACTATAAAACCTAAAATATTTTCCATCCTCTCCCTCCCTCCATCCCACCATTCAGTCTGCTTATAGGTCGCTTTTAAAGATATTAGAAATAATGGCTTACTTTTCATTGACTAAAGGTCAGTAAATATACGCGTACAAGATGAAGATTGGGTTGTTGACCTAATCTTATTTAATGGCAATCAAATATTCTAAATCTAGCTAATTACCTAATCTATGGAATTTGTTGTCAAAATATTTACAACACCTACAGAAATACACAATTAAATAATTAATAAATTAATTCCTCTAATAGCTTTTGAGGGGCGCTCATATAGTCTCCGCGCACAACGAAGATGATGGGATCATCGTCGTTGCACGCCGAATCTCGTCTCTCCATCTTAATCTTCTCTCGTAGGGCCACCTACGAGGTGGCGTTCATAGAGCCGCCGAGTGCAAGGTGATAATGGAAAAAACTGTCGTTGCGTGCTTGAACTGAAGCCCTAGATGCGGTTGTTGCGCGGCAGTTTAGATTCATCAATGGATAACGTCTTTGGTTTGGTTTGTATGTCGCGATCTAGTGCACGACGACACCATTTCAAATCTGCTGTTCATCCGCCCGTCGTCGCTGCTTGGCGTGATCTGGTGCACGACAGCGGCGTGATCTGTAACGATGGTGCCGTGGTGATGATTTTTGTTGGATTTGTTGGTTTTTAGAGTGGTTGTGGTTTTTCATGTTTTGGTGTTATGATGGTTTGTTGGCGATGGCGGTATCAGTGTTGTCGTTGTTGATGTTGGTGGCGGTTGTGGGAATCGTGACAATGGTGGCGACGACATGGTGGAATGAAAAGTGTTTGTAACTAACTATTTGATTGATTTGTGACCAAGTATTGGTGGTGGATCGGGACCGGAAGTGGGAGTTGGTGTTTAGTGTATGTGACCAACTATTTAGTTATTTGTGACCGACCATTTAATTGTGACCTAAAAATTCTATAATCTGTAACTGAAAAATAATTTGTGAACAATTAATTTGAAAATTTGTGATCGACGAATAAACTGTAACATATAAATATTTTTATTTGTAACTGTGAAATAATTTGTGATCAATTAATTTGATAATATGTAATCAATAAGTTGTGACCTATAAGTACGTACTTGTGACCATTAATTGTATAATTATGACCTTAATATATTTAATTATTTATTTATCACCTGAGTTGAATTTTGAAACTTTAAACCTGAAAATTGAATTGGTCCATAGTTAATACCCGAGTTGTGAATTTGTCCCATGAACCAATCGAACCAGTCCTTATGGGTCCTCGTCCTCGACCATCAAACCCAACATAACCCGTTGTGACCATTGTGATGGACTAACTTGTCAACCTGCTCAAACTACGTTATGTTGGGTTGGTTTTTTTCTGATTTTTTAACAAAGTGACTCGTTCTAGGACAAGGCGTTCCAACTAGTTCATTAACAAGTGTAACATAAACTTCCTACAATTAAAAGTTTCTGATAGATGACGCCAACGCTTAGACTCGATCGAAAACACTAGACAGGTCATTGGAATATTCAAGTTCAAAAAAGTTAAAAAGTTGTTAGTGGAGTACTACCCACTAAAGATATAGAAAAAGAATTAGTACATTGCCAATCCTGTTCCCTCTGCAACGAGTCAAAGTAGTGTTTTTTTAGGGTTTTTGCTTGAAAATTGTGAACAATTAATGCTTGATAATATTAATTAAGAAAGACGAAGTTTCAAATCCTTTTCATTATTACATATATTATTATCCACTACATATGAAACATAGTATCATAATATTTTTGATATATAATGCACTAAAAGCACGCCGTAAATACGGATCCAATACGGCGTGCAATTTTTTGCACGCCGTAAATACTTTAAGCAATTGATTTTTAACGGCATACATATATCACATGTCGTAAATAGTCTATTTTTACGACATATCGTAGATGCCGTAAATAAATGTCGTAAAAAGCTACTTTTTTGTAGTGTATAGACCAAAGTACCATCTCTTATTGCAGTTCATACATTTAAACAGTTTAATTTATTTGAGGAGACTAAGTCCTCGTTTGGTCTCAATTTCTCAAAAACTTATTTTTTAAAAAACTCATTTCAACCAAATATTCACAATTTTTATCGAACACACATTTCATAAATTTTTATCAAAATCTACTAAAAATTTAATTTTTATCAAAACCAAATAGCGACTAAACATCTTTCTCCAAGATGCATATTTTAGCAAATATCGATCTTTTTCATTGATTTTTTTTTCACTTGAATCTCTCTCTCTCTCTCACTCACAGTTTACAAGGAAGAGATGGGGGAAAAGGAACTGGAAATAGGGTTTCCAACAGATGTGAAGCATGTAAGCCATATAGGATTGGATGGATCAACTACAGTCAACCCAATTCCAGAATGGAAAAATCGAAAAGCTCCTGAAATACTTTCATTTCCTTCAATTTCTTTAAAACAATTTGAACTTGCAATGGCTGCCCAATCTCATGGCCCTTTAAGTACTACCACTGCTACCAGATTTACCCCCAATAACACTATGAACTTACAATGCTAGACATTTCGAGAGTAGTGAATTTCCAATGAATGAGAGTACTTGCCACTAATTTCATTGCTTGATGTATTTGTTTTTAGGATGCTTAAGAAAATATTTAATTTGTTACAACAATAGAATTTGTGATGAATTGTTGCTTGTTATTGCAAAGATTAGTAGCCTAAGAAATAATGATTTGCTTTTGTAATTGTTTTTTTTTTTTTGGGTTGTATTTGTATATATTCTGCAATTCTATTTTTATATCTTTTATTCCTTGGCCTTCTTTTTTTTTTTTAATTTGCGCAATAAAAGAAGTTGGTGTTGGAATAATTGGAATTATTTATAGTGTGAATTGAAATATGTCTCCAATAGGTGCATCTTCAATTGTAAAGAGTCGTGTTACTTAGAATGAGCGTGGCTATTTAAAAGGTGTATACTACACCATTTAATGTGAAAATGTGTGATCTATGTTAAAAAATGCAATCTTTCAATATGAAGGTGTATACTATACCACTGAATGTGAAAAACTGTGGTCTATTTAAAGAGATGTAACCTTTCAACAAATCACGTGAAAATTTATAAATAAAGACCTTCAGTTTCATTTTTCCTACACTAAATCAATTCAAATTATTATTGATTTTTAATTTTCTCATCTCTTCAAAAATTTTATTCCTTTTATTTTGTTGAAATAAAATTCTGTTCTAATTATTTTTAGAAATAAAATTTCGTTCGAATTTTTAATTCATGTCTATTCCATTGAAGAAGAACATTGTCTATACTCTGGTTCGACCGAAAAAATTAATGGTGTGCTATATTAATTTTGAAAGAAGCGTTATATTTTGATAGACGAACATCCATTTGATCTTGTTAGCATCGGTGTAGGGGGCGAAATCCAATTTGAGGAGGTTTGCATTCGTATACCTCACTTTATTTTATCTTTTTCAATTTCTGCATTTTCTACGTTTCAGTAAGTAGTTATTTGTTCATTATTATGCATGTATTATGATTCGATAATTCGTTATTCTAATATTTGCATGCACGCATTTTTGATTAACGAAATATAATTCATGCACTAATTTATCCAATAGTTGGATAATAAGTCTAAATTCTCCCTTTCGTGACTTATTGCTTGCTTGTTTATGCAATAAAAGACGTCGGATATTTTAGGTCCTATTTGAAATTAATTTTTGAGTCCAACTTCTAATTGTCAAATAATCAGAAATTACTTTAGGTGTTTGATAAACTCAAAAAATAGATTGTAGAAGAATTTGAGAGTAAATTTTGAGAAACAATAAAATAGTAGCTTCTCTAAGCATTTACAATTAAAATTCCAATTTTTATTTTAATGAATTGAATAGATTTTTTTTATTTGTCCCAAGTTAATAGATATATCAAAAATATTGAATCACTCGATCATTTATATTTATTTGAATATTTTTACTGTACGGACTATGCTTTTATTTTATAATTTTATAAATTTTGAGATTTAATTAGTTATTAAATTTTATTTATAATATCCATAGTGAATACATTGTCTTGGAAAATATTGTAAAATAAAATCTTGAAAAAATATTTGATCACATTATATATTGTTATAAAAGTAAAAATAAATTTTACAATTCTGCCAATGATAATAATATTAAAGGTCAGCATATCGATATCCATTTTAGTGATTGTGTATATGTACAATAATAAAATATTTTTGTTTACCAAACGCTAAAATGTGGCTTTTGAAACATATAAAAATTTTGAAAAATGAAAAATAAAATAAAGTTAACTAAACACTTAACTAATTTTCTGTCAACTATATTAAAATTATCTTACTACACCTGAAAACATCTAGGGGTAATTTATATTCAAATCATAATTTTTATTTCTTACACCACATTTTAATTATACATAAGATTTTTAATCTTTATTCATTATAATACTTATGTCTCTAACGATTTTTCATACCATTTTTATTTTCAAAATTTTCATTAGTTAACACATTTTGTATTTGATAATAGTTTTATATCCAAAAGTATGTTGAAATGACATAAAATAACTTATTTTCCATCATATTTCTAAAAAATATATAAATAAAAGTGCGAAAAAATATTTTTCTCTCATTTCAAAGTATGAAAATAAAATATTTTGATATAACTTATTATCAACGACGAGACATACTAATTAATAGAATGTTTAAGATAAGAATTTGACGAAAAAGTTTAAGAAGATAATGGCTACAATGAGCAAAGATTGATGAACATTACTGCAATTAAAATGTAGTGTATCAAATAAAAATTGTGGTGGCAATATAATTACCCAAACATTTATCCAAAAGTTATGTTTTTAAAACATCTACACCTCGAAAATCAAAATCCTGAAACTTTCAATAAGAAACCACCATTTATTGTGTAAAAAAATAATTTAGCACAATAACTTCAAAATGTTCATCCTACAATAAAGAACTAAATTATGTGAAATATAATAATTCTAAAGCAAATGCACAAATAAATTGTTACTCACATTTATACAATACTTAATCTTGAATTCTACTTTTCCTTCCATGCTACTTCTACAAATAAAACATTTAATTACAATTTCTCTTCCATTCACCTATAAGTAATGAAACTGTCCAAAAGAAAAGAAAAAAAAAAAACCAAAATATCAATATTACAAAACGAATGTAAGTTATTAAAAAATGACTTTTCATATTATAACTTATCAATGAATATATATAAATTAATGAGTTTTTTAAACTATTGAGTGGGTTTATTTTCGATGAATTTTTCTGGAATTTGTAAAATTATTTTTCTTACCAAAAGTTATTTTCATATGGTTATTTTCGATAACGTTAATTAATGAGTATTGTTGATTATAAACTTACAAATTTAGTGGTAAATGGAAGATATAATGTTATCCACTTATCGACGCTTTTTATATATTGTAAATTCCAACCATTTTTTTTTTTAATATTGGGTCATTACAGATAGTTAATAAGTTATAAGGCTTAGCCCGATTAAGATCAGACTTGGCCTAAATTTCAAAAACTTATTACATTTGTCTTCCATAACATGGAGGGCTTTGATTAATTTCTAGGGAACAATACATTTCTAAGGTATTTACTTTACAACTTTTCAAAAATACAAAAATAAGTTTGAAAATTCACAAATCAGGTTTTTTAAAATTTTAATTAATAATTAATGAATTATTAAATCAATTTATTATTAAATATTTAATTTTAATTTAATATAATTACCCCACCCACCTACCTCCACCACCCCAACCGACTTTCCGATCACCATTCTTCTCCGGCGACTGTTTCGACGACCTCTCCGGCGACTACTCCGACGACTGCTCCGATTCCGGCACGTATTCCGATGACCGTTCCGCCACTTTTTAGGTCACAATTCAAAAATTTCATAGGTCACAATTTGTTCATCGGTCACAATTTAAAAATTTTAAAGTCACAATTTGTTCATCGGTCACAATCACAAAATTTAAAAGTTACGTTACTTATTTTATGGTCACAAACACCAATTTCTTGGTCACAAATCAATAATTTTTAGGTCACAAATTAGTAATTTTTAGGTCACACA